GCTTTTGTACTTTAGAGATAAAAACCCCAAGGAGAGAATTCTAGGCAGATCTGCTTTATACCAAATTCTGTTTAACTGCAGCATATATGCTTGAGGGTGTTATCTGATAATGAACAAAGACTCTTACAGCTTAAAATGTAATAAAGTCAAACAAATGAAAACGAACTTTTCTGTCCTAAAACAGGACTATGCTATGTAGGCATCTACATTTATAACAAAGCTTCACTTGAGTTGGAATTTTTTTGGATATAGTTATTTTTCTTGTCAAGTGTTCTCATATTTGTATTATTTCCTAGTTTTAAGAGGAATTAACTTATCACAAAATGACTGTTTTACTAATTAGATCTGAAATTAGCCATCTAACTTAGCATCTGACCTTAAGCATATGATTTTGTATCACACTGAACAGCACTACAGACACAGAAGTCTTTCTCAATTTTATGGCTCGTAACTAATTTAAACCTAACCCATGAACCTCTTTGCAATTTCCTAGTCTTTTACTTTCAGATGACTGACTTACATTATTCAAACCAGTTTGACAACTACTGCCTATGTAGTTCTAGTCTTCCACGTAAACAAAAGGCTACACAGAATGACTTCATTTGTCATCATAAATTAGATAATATTAAGTGAAATCTGAACTGAGCCTTAGTCTCCTCATCTATAAAGAGGAGGATAACTACATTTATCTCTTGCTGTCTCTTGGGGTTGTTGCAAAGATTCACCAAGATTTTCAGAAACTGTAAAGCATAATACAAACGTAAGGTATTATCATAAATATTTTGAACTTAAAAACACATTACGTACTCAAAGTACCAAGAAATTGACTTTATCACACAGGTTACAAATTGGAGATTTTAAACATTGATGTTTTAGGTCAAATGTGATGTACGTAGGTTTTAGAAAGTAAAATCTATATTGGAAATAAAAGGCTTCCAACAACAACAAAGATCTTTGAAGTTATGTGATCCATAGTACTGACTTACGTTCACATCACACTTTTGGATTTTAACCCAAATGTTTTAACTCCTGACTACATTTTTAAACTTACATTTTTACTGATCCCTCAACTTTCAAGTTATTTAGAATCGTTTTTTTTTTTTAATCATATAGTAAACACTCTCTTACACAGAAAGCGCAAAACTCTAATTTCAAACAACCACAGCTCCAAACACTCCACCTCCACCCTAAAACACACTGAATTGCAACAAATAGCAAAACTGGGTTTCTCTTCTGGCTAATCTTTAGGTGAAACAATGAAGTTAACTTAAAGCTGGAAGGAACAGGGTAGAAAAAAGGAAAAGATGGGTTCTCAAAAGTACATCAGGGTTGGCTTGTTTTTTAAATGCAGATTTGGAACACAGCCACACCCATTTTATCAAGGGTTGCTTCTGCTGCAACGCCAGAGACAATAAAGTCACTGGCCCTTTAAAGAAAATATTTGTCAAACACTGGTTAGACAATCAATACTGAAAAGAAAACAAAGTCTCAACCAGCAAAAATGTTTTCCTTTGCAATAAGATTAATATTTACTTTTGTTAGATCATGATGACTCTTATTCTGGTTCTGCTGGGTTAAGGTCAACCTGACCACTTCCAACCATCTCCACCACCACTACTCTCCCGGTCTAAGTCATGGTCTTTTACCCCCTGGATCACTGCAATTCTCTCTCATTTGGTCTTGTCTCACTCTATCACTACGGTCCATCCTCAAATTTAGCAGTCAGGTCAGTCCTTTAAAAATTGTCATGTCGTTGTCTCTCCTTTGTTCCAAACCTCCCAATACCAAAGTCCTTATAATGGCCTATAAAATCTTAGTTATCTGGGCCATATTGTTTCTTACATCATCTTTATTGGTCTCCTCTTCCCTCATTCCGTCTCCAGCCAAACTAACCTCCTTCCCCTTCCTTAACCAGATGTAGTCTGCATTAAGTCTTTTATGATGGCTATCCTCACTGCCTGGAATACTCCTCAGATACCTGCGTGACTAATGCAGTTCCTTCAAGAGTCTGTTCAAATCTCATCTTAAAATGAGGCTTTTCCAGGCAACTTCACCCTATAACTCCTACTTCTTTACCTTCTAGTATATATACTTTTTATGCCGCATTTGTTATTTGTCTTCCCTTGCTCCCTATCAAGTAAGCCTGGAACACTTCAGTTTGAGAGAAAGGAAGGATAAATGATATTTACAAATAATGAAGTAGAAAAAACATTTTTCCTTTAAAAAGCATCAGTGGCAATTGAGCAGGAGGGAAGTAGGCAGGAGTAGGGAGTAAATGTCCAAGTTAAACAACAAAACAACTTCAAATCTTTAAATTATGTGGCTTATTGGCTTTAAAATAAAAACTGCAAAAAAAAACCCCCACAAAACACAAAACCTCAAACCAAAACCCTACTTTTCTCTCTTTTTAAAAAAAGTATTCGCAAAAGAGAATTATCTTAAACTGCCAATTGAGTTTTAAAAGAACACACACACAAAAAAAAACCTATGTGCTACTCCTGCACTTACTGCTTTAACATATTATCTAAAGCTGCCAAATCAATTAAAGGGGGGAGGGGGAACTCCTAAAGCTGTTTTACATATCAAAGGAATTTAACAGGACCAATCAGTATAGTTTCATAAATGGAATATTCCTGGACATAGTTCTATAAATATTTACGCCAAAGACCTTACATCTATAACTTGCTTCCAAAAGATAATGAGGTTACAGTTGTCAATTCAAAGCACAGCTACATATGATGAAATAAAGCCAAAGCTGATGTCACATTACGAATGCAGTAAGTCAAGTGCAGCAAAGCAGTGTCTTGTGTCATTCCCAAATCATTGCCACAGCAACCTTCAGCAATGATTTCTGTCTCCTCTGAGAAAGAATAAATGAATACAAAGTCAACAGAGCAAAACCAGTGACAACATCCCTCTGATTCAAAAGTGATAACTTAAAAATAAATTATCTGGTTGCCTTAAAATCATGATCAATTTAAGACCTTGAAGAATCAACCACAATATAGCTGCACTCTGTAAAGAGCAAGAAGTAAATAACCTTTTATTTTCAAATGATATTGATTGAACACATCTTGTTAAGGAACTTCCCTCTGACTACAAGATGGTAGAGCATTCTAATGTGCGATTATGAAGTGATCTAATTAACAATAATTTCTTGTAACTGTCAGGGCATGGCTAGAGAGTGATCTTTGGCTTGATCTATCCTACTATTAAGCACTTTCTAAATTAAGCTATCATTTTCTGAGTGTTTATGTCAGATATTGTGTTAAGTACTTGCCTTTAATCCTCACAACAAACCTGTAAGATTGGCATTAGTATTATCTGCTCTCCACAGAGAAGAAAACTGAGGCTTAAGTTAAAAAACTTGAACCTAGAACCAAAGAATGCCTATCCCAGACTGCTCCTGCTCCTAACCATTATTAGAACTGCCTCTCTGAATTCTCCTTGTATCTGCAACACAGTACTAAAATAAATGAGGCCAAATATCACCCTATTCGGTGCTGTATTACTGCTTAATTAACAAAAAGTAAAACCTTTCTCAATCTTACAATCTTGCATGCTTTAGGGCTATTCATTACTAGAATAAATAAGACAAATAGGAAAATAAGTTTTAAAACAGAACTTGCAAATGTGAATGCCCATGATTTCTGAAAAAAATCAGTTAAGTGACAAAATTAGGTTTGTAAAAAGAGCCAAACGAATTACATGTCTGGTTAAAAACAGAAAGGAAAACAAGACAGAGCTGTGACTTGTAATTCACTCCCAGTTCTATCAATTCGTGCACCTTTGGCCTGGTCATTTAGCCTTCGGGACTCATTTTTCTCATCTTCAAACAAAGAGTAATGGACTAAATAACCTAACTAGCTGTTATACATTATGATTCTGTTTTTACCAGGTCTTAGAAGTATCTGAGAGAGAAGAAGAGATTATTTAAACCCTAAATGTGTGTTACTAAGTAAACATTATGAAGTAAAGACATAGATATACTATGCTAAATTTACCCCAAATCCTTTGAGAAAGAGTATTTTCTAAATAAATGTTTTCATAACAAAATATTTTAATACTACTACTAAATAGCTACTACTTATTGGCTTGTGATGTTTTACATACATACATTACCCATGCTTCTGACTTCAAAGACTATGCTGTTAACTTCACTTAACCTCACCAGTCTTTCTTATCACCTTAACCAATGTGTCCGTTTTGTGTTAATATTAAAACGCACGAGTTAGGGATGATTACTAGCATAAAGTGCCCAACGCAGAGCCTGGGACAGCTCTGGAATTAAATATGTATGTGTGTGTGTGTGTGTGTGTGTGTGTGTGTGTTCTATTTCACAATTATTCGTAGTATTAACAAAACTTCTTATATAATTCAAAATCCTCTCTGAATAATCATATTGGCGCAGGAAGTTCTATGAGCCACGTAACAGATACTAAATCACCTCAAAATCAGGGATATCGGGGTGTAGAAAACACTTTGCAGCCGCGTTTTATTTTTGCACCGAGTACCACGCCTAACTGCCTAATTAAAACACAAACTGCACCATCGTTTCGTGGAATTAGCCACAGTGAGTTTCACGTGGATTTCCCTTCTCTCCAAAATTAGACCAAACACCAAGATGAAGCCTCGTTAGGGGGTAAAGACCCAGGAGGCCACAGCAAGTCTTGAGAAATGGATACCAAGGCACAGGGCACACCTTCAGTGTTACGCCCTGCAGCCCGACGGCCGCCCCCTTCTCCTTTCCAGCCCAAAAGGCAGCCCAGGGAACGGCAGGGGCATTTCGGCTCTTCAGCCGCCAGCTGGAACCATTCTCCTACTCAACCTCTACCCCCTGGAAGGGCAGGGCGTTTCTAGAGAATCCAGTGTCAGTGCAAAGCAGGGGAATTGGGACAGAGTGCAGGGCACGGGAGGGGACTGGCGCGAGAGGCGTCACGGCTCGACTCTCTCGGGGCAAAAAGAAGCGGGGGCTGGAAGCCAGAGTCCAGCCGGGGTACCTTGCGTCCAGCGGCAGAAGATGGTGTCAGAGAGACCGGGGCTGCTGTTGGTGCCCCACACCAGCTCCATCAGCTCTTTAGTCAGTTCGGACATGATGGGATGCCGGCGAGCTGGTCTTGGCTTTCAGGACTCCTGCCCCGGCACATGGGGAAGGGGCGGCTTCCGAGATCAGAGTGGCGGGACGGCGGCGGTTAACGAGCTTGAAGGTCAGACGGGAGAGAGGCAAAAGGAGAGAGACCTACTTGCAGGGACCCCGCCTGTCAAGCCCGGTCGGAGCGGCAGCAAGGAGTTTCCCGTACCGGAAGTACCGGAGCCACTTCCGGCTTCTCTTTCACTACCGCCCCCACGGCCGGAGGGGCAGGCGGCACCTCCCCGGAAGCGGAAGTGGGGGTGGGGCGAGAAGAGCTGCAGGGGACAATTCAGGCCACTGGCCTTTCTGAAAGTGCAAGGGGGCTGTGGTGCGGTGGCTGATTTTGTTTTGGCAGGAGCATCGCGTCCCGTGGGCGTTGGCATATTTCTACCACTGTAGAATACCTCCTTCTCCGCACTGCTTTGGGCTTAGTCCCCAGGCCCAAGCTCTGGGACTCAGAACATAACCTATACCTTAAGATTTGTAATATTAATTATGCCAAACTACAGCTTTAAGAGTATGGTTGAGTCTCCTTGAGGACACATTCATGTCTGTGTGGAGAGCCACCCATAAATTGAAGGCTCTCAATCTCTTGCTAAGTCACATTAAGTTAAACCAACTATCAACATAAGTGAAGAATGTGGCCGAATGAGTGTTAGAAGTGCCTGACCCGAGCATAACGGAAAATTACAAACCTCTTCACAGGAAAACAGATTAAAAGCGGCCCGTTTGTAAATGGTAGAGCAATTTTACCTACAATTTTGAAGACTGTAGGGTGTATGGGCACCATGTGAGCTTAAAGACCAGGTTTCAATCATTGACAAGCATTCAGTTAAATTTAGTGGCTTCCCTGAGTTGGTGATGGCTTGAGAATCTTGGCGTGCTGCGGTCCATAGGGGTCGCAAAGAATTGGACACGACTGAGCGACTGAACTGAACTGAAAATTTTCTATTTGTGACACTTAAAAAGAAGAAAATTTATTCTGACTGAATTTGGAATTTCAAACAAAAAGGCAAAAATCTGATAGGCTCCTTCCAGGCAGCAAATAACGGGAGTTTGCTAATTTATACTCTATTTTTGACTTACGTAACCTTTGCTGTTTTTAAAAGGAATTGCTCAAAATACCTGAACCATATCCATAGACTTCTTCCCAATCTTTAACCCTTGTGAAATATCCTTTATCCTGTTTTTCAAACCAAATCTTACTCATTCTTCAAGATGTATGTTGACTTAAAAAATACAGCCTAAAAATTAAAAGTTTTTTTTTTTTTTTTAAATTCAGTGAGAATTTTTAGGAGTTTAAGCCTGGGAAACAGCATCTCTAGTAACCCTGAGAGAACTGCTCTGAGGAGGAGAGGGGAGGAGCCAGGTTAATAGAAGTTTTGCAACCAAGGAAAGATAGTCTGAACATCAAAAGATTATTGTTAATTAAAGGAAGCCAAATATCCCACAATCCAATATTCTTGGGCTTCACTGGCGGCTCAGATGGTAAAGGATACACCTGCAATGCAGGAGATCTGGGTTTGATCCCTGGGTGCGGAAGATTCCCGTGGAGGAGGGCATGGCAACACTCTTCAGTATTCTTGCCTGGAGAATCCCCCTGGACAGAGGAGCTGGCAGGCTACAGTCCATGGGGTTGCAAAGAGCTGGACACAACTGAGCGACTAAGCACATCACAGATATCCCAAGCTAAAGAATTAAGTGCTTTTCTATGTCTGGGAAGATGCAAGAGTCTGGGATCACTGAAATCATTTCTTTCAGATGTATCTCAGCTATCCTGGGCCAGTAGCCTGTGTTTTTCACACCCTGAGCTCCACTGGGGCTCACCTTAGGAAGTAGCTACAGTCCTGGTGGCTGCTAGTCCACTGGTACCCTTCTTCCTGAGTGCCCTTAGGGCTCAGGAATTCACATTGGAGTGCTGTAATCACTGATGACTGTGATATCCCTGTTTACTGATGTGGCAGGAAATACTCCATTTCTTGGTGCTTCCCTGGTGGTTCAGATGGTAAAGAATCTGCCTGCAATGCAGGATCCAGGGTTGGGCTGATCCCTCGGCAAAGGGAATGGCTACCCACTCCAGTATTCTTGCCTGGAGAATTCCATGGACACAGGAGCCTGGTGGGCTACAGTCCATGGGGTCACAAAGAGTGGGACACAATTGAACAACTAACACTTCCACTTTTCACTCTACTTCTCACATAGTATAAATGGTACTTTGTAATAAAGCCTTCTCCAATTGCTGCAATATAAAAGAAAATTTTTAGCTTCTGAAATTTCACAAAACTGAAAGTGAAGTTGCTCAGTCGTGTCTGACTCTTTGCGACCCTATGGACTATAGCCTACCAGGCTCCTCTGTCCATGGGATTTTTCCAGGTGGAGTGGGTTGCCATTTTGTGACTTGCTTATGACAATTACTGTCATTTGTAATTTGCAAATAATTATTTATTCTTCTCCTGTGGTAGATGTTTAAGGAAGATGAGGACCTGTCTTATTCATAGTACCTAATAGAGAGCCTTGAATATAGCTGGATCTCCGTATTAGAATGAAACTTGCCTTTATGGAACTTAAGACTTCACTTATGGAACTTAAGAATTCAAGAAGTGAGGAAATGAGGGGAAGTACCAGTGACTGGTTCAAGTAAATGTCTATTATTTGCACAGGTGATTTATAATTTGCAAAATAATTTCATTTCCTAAAAGACATAGAAGAGCCAATGTTCATAGATCCTGTAAGTGGCAGAACTCTAACGTCAACTACAAATTGGCACTTGCCATGGGTGCTTTCCATCTACCTTTAATCTACAAGGATTAAGTCATGTGCCACTGCAGCTGCTAATTTTTTAACACCCTTGACAGGACTTCAGGGTGAAGAACAGAAATGTAGCATTCTGTGCTCTGGAAAAAATGGGCAGAACAGATCTTCAGATAGTTAGATATTTTGAGGAGCTGATTTTATGAGCCCAATTCTTGTACCTTGTCATATCTAGAAAAGTGCTAAAATCCTTCATGGTGATGACAGCTTGTTGTGACTAGCAGAAACCTTCCAAAAATATGTGCTTGATTGCATGTACACCCCCTTCACCAGAATCACTTATATACTGACCTTCATCACTACCTCTTTAGAGCAGTTTCTCAGGGCTATCTGAAATGCTGTCTCTCAGGCTATAGTCCTCATTTTGCCCCAAATAAAACTTAACTCACAGTTGTCACACTGCATTTTTCTAAAGTCAGCAATAAGTTCAGAGGTATTTGCCATATTTTTCTCTTTTCATTATTATAGAGGCATAGTTATAGATATAATTGTCCATGAATAGAAATAAATACTTTCAAAAAAATTTTTAATGCAATATTTCTTGATCCATGATTTTTCTTAGTTTTCAGCTGTGATGAAACTGGCAAAATCTTGGGTAGATGTTAATATGCATGATCTTTCTACCTTTAGGTTATATTCTCTATTTGCAACATGCTTTAAATCTTTAAATTAGCTGGACATATTTTTAACAAGGAATATTTGATTGTTAAATTATTTATGTTGCTTAATTATTCATTACTTGCTACATTTGAATTGTGATGTTACACTACATTAGAAATTTAAATTAATGTTCATTTAACATTTTTTTAGCTAGTAATTATTTAGAAAAATAACAATAATTGTAATAGTCAAGTTTGTTGCATATATTTCTGGTACAGAAGGATAATGCCTTTTTCATTTTTATAATGACTTGAAAATTATGTAATTTTTCTTTGGCATATTTATCTTGCTCCATATTTACCATAATATTTTTTTCCTTAGGACCATCTATTAGTCTTAGTCTAAGTAGCTAACTCATGTCCAACTCTTGCGACACCATTGACTATAGCCTGCCAGGCTCCTCTGTCCATTGGATTTTCCAAGTAAGAATATTGGAGTGGGTTGCCATTTCCTTCTCCAGGTTGCCATTTCCCAGCCTGGGGAATCAAACCCAGGTCTCCTGCTTTGAAGGCAAATTCTTTACCATTGAGCTACAAGGAAAGCCCAGGAGTTTTGATTAAATTGATGTGTGTCATTAAGATGTACATATACATGAATGCTCAGCGGCTCAGTCATGTCAGACTCTTTGTGACCCCATGGACTATAGTCCACTAGGCTCCTCTGTCCATGGAATTTTCCAGGTAAGAATACTGGAGCAGGTTGACATATAGGTTGCATAAATGATCTTTAATCCTAAAAGAGAGTCTTAAAATATCAAAACTTCCTGTTAACATGTTAAATTTTATTTGTAGTATTTCTCTTTCAAATTCAAGTCAGAGCACCTCCATAAAGCTGGGCTTAGACTACCAGGATCATTAACTCTCTTTATCCAAATTCACTATTTCAAAGAAACAGAATTACTCATTATCAAATGCTAACTCCATGCTGAATTATTCTGTTGTCTTTCCCCAAGTTTCCCTGTCAAAAAAAAGCAAAACAGCTTCATAACCATGTTCCTAGCAACTACCATGAAAGAACACTTCTCCAACTAGAAGCCCTCAGCTTCTAATTTAGTATATTTGCACCACTTGTTTAAGAGAAATCAATCTTTCAGATTTCCACTCTACAATAAGATAAGTTCTAGGCAGGTTACTAAAACAATGCTCTCTGTATTTATTAAAAACTATTTCATGCATATGCCCCTTGTCTTCCAATAGCAGTGTAAATCTGTCAAGCACATGAAATTCTTTTCTTTGCATCATACTAAACACATCTCAGTTCCTTTTAAATCCACCACTGTCATGCTCAGGTATGACATAAAATGTCATTTCCTACAAACACAAACACGTGGTGGAAAAGGGGTTCTGTCATTAAATGCTGAGTTAAACAAAGTCAAGCAAGAGATGCTCAAAATTCTCCAAGTGAGGCTTCAACAGTACGTGAACCAAGAACTTCCAGATGTTCAAGCTGGACTCAGAAAAGGCAGAGGAACCAGAGGTCAAATTGCCTATAT